TAAAGCCCAAACTATTGCAAGAAGTTCACGTTCGTTTGTAGCATAATTCTCTTCGGCATCAGACAGTGTCCGCGATATCATTGTAATCGGTCTTCTACCCTGGGATAAAACAGCTCCGATAGCGTGCGAAGAAGCATCAGTTGTCAAGTCAAATGGTTTTTTGAAATCAGGATAGTTTAATAACACATCTTCCGATATCAAAATATTTTTTAATGCATTAAATGCATGGATTTGTTCATCGTTCAGAGTAATTTTTATTTTCTTTGACTGAGACGCAGAGACATTGCCAAATTCTCCTCTTAGAATACTACTTAAAGGTCTTGCGATTTTTGCAAAATCCTTAATAAAACATCTGTAGTACCCTGCTAAACCTAAAAAAGAACGAACCCCACGTAGCGTTGTGGGTTGTGGAAAATTTTTCATAGCATTTACTTTATCAGCACAGGTTGTTATGCCATTTGTTGTTACCATAAATCCGAGATATTCTGTTTCTTGTCTGAAAAATTTCGATTTTTCCGCTGAAACTTTCATATTTGCCTCTAAAAGACTTTTTAGAACTGATTCCACATCCCGAATATGATTTTCCTCGGACGTCGAGAAGATAATTACATCATCAATATAGACGAAACAACACTTCCCGATATGTTCTCGTAGAACATCATCAATGGCACGCTGAAAAATACTAGGTGCGTTTTTTAAGCCAAATGGCAAACGACAAAACTCGTATTTTCCATTTCTCACGGAGAATGCTGTTTTTTCTCTGTCCCGCTCAGCTAGCTCTATTTGATGGAAACCGGATTTTAGGTCTAGGGTTGTAAAATACTTGGCCCCACCTAAATTAGACAAAATCTCTGTTATGTCTGGTATAGGATATTTGTCGCTAATGGTTTTGTCATTTAGTTTACGGAAGTCAATAACCAGACGTTTGTTTGGGCAACCAAATTCGTCTACTCCTTTTTTATCAACCACCCATATTGGGTTGTTGTAAGGGGATCGTGACGGTCTAATAATACCGTTGGCTAGTAAATTCTCAACTTCGTTTTTGACAAAATCACTTACACCCAATTAGCAATTACATTAGTATTATAAGCAAGTGCTTCGTCAGGATCCGCAAATGCTTTAATATTTCTTTGAATCATATCATTAAATTTTCCTCTAATACCTAATGGAACTGCTAAAGAATTTAGTTCTAAATAATTAACATCTTTACATGAATCATAGTAAAGTGGTTCGACGTAATTTGCATAAAAAATTTTCGATTTTCCCAGGTCTATTGATGCGTTCAAAGTTTTTAAAATGTCGAGTCCGATTATCCCATCAAACGTCTCCAAACTAGGAAGAACAAAAAAATCAGTAAATATTCCAAATATGTTTGTTCGGACCTTCTCCTTAATTCTGTTTGTATTATGAATTGATTTTACCAAAAATGGTCGATTAACTGATGTCACTCCCTGGAGTCCGTTGAATGGCTTAATGTAGTTTTTGGAGGTGCCAGTATCTATTAAAAATTTTCTTGTTTTGCCTGCAATCACCCTTGGGATCCAAGGAAGCAGGGACCCTTGCCTAAAAAATTAAGCTCTTCGATGTCTTCGTCAGCCTCACATGCCAACACCTCATAAGTGTCCTCGTCTAGTTGCCTATTCTCATCTGCGAATACTTCATTATTTCTATCGCAAGTTTCATTATTGCAACGAGTTTCTTCAATATGGTTCAATCTCTGCCATTTTTGAACATTGCCATTAGAAAATCTTCCAGAATCTAGATAACGTTTTTCAGCTTTTGGTGGTAAATTATTAATGTTTCTTGACTCGTCGCCTCCGTATAACACCTTGTTAGAACTATCAGGTTTCGGTGTCACATAAGGAGCTTGAGAGTTTGAACGTTGGCTGTATCTAAATTTTGATGAAGATGGATCTATATCCATGGGTTCTGATTTTTGCTGATTATTCACCGTACCTTGAGTTTTCGAAGAAAGTCTATACGGTTGACTCTTGCTATCCTTCATCTCATTTCTCTTAGCGAAGCTATTTGCAAAGACATATCGTTGATGATTTGCCTCAACTTCTTGTGCGAGGGCCAATGCTGTGGCCATGTCCTCAGGACGAGACGAAAACAGAATGTCACAAAGTGGTTTTTTTAATCCTGAAATAAAAATGCGCAGACCATCTTGTCTGTATTTTGTATTAAGGTTAATAGTCAGTTGCGTATTGTCCCCATATGTCATTGTAGTTTTATTCACTAACATAGCCACTCTTTTTTCTACTTCACTATAAAATTCTGAAATTGACAATTCCCCCTGTCTTAATGTGGACAGTTCCTGTTCGATTAAATAGATGGGTCTTTTATCAGCGTAAGTAAAATCAAGGCGTGCAATTATTGCTTTAAAATTTAAAACTGTGTTGAATGATGCTAAGACGTCATTAGCATTGCCAACAATTTTATTTCTTATTATCAGAACAGCCTGATAATACCTTGCCGTCCCCACGGTATTTTCATGAATCTTATGTGCAGCTTTTGCTGCGGCCCGCCATGATACGTACTTTTCCCTTGTTCCATTAAACTCTGGAAGAGATTTCACAGCATCGAGGTTATCCGTACCGATCGAGCTGGTGATTTTAATTTCTTCGTACGTCTCTACGGATGACGACGGAGTTTGCATAACACATATTTTCCTCGTCAGTTCACTAATTTGATCTTTTAACGCTTTATTTTCTGAGTCTATAATGGCACGCTGCCCTTGGAGTGCTGCACTTACAGCAGCATCCACAATTTGTTCCGCGTTCATAATTCGGTCACTTTTTTTACGTTTTTTTTTCTTGAGGAATGATTACTCTACTTACATGGATTCTATTGATCGTTGGGCGCCAGTTATTTGTTTTAATTTCTTGATTATCTTTATTTAATTATTAATTATTAAGTGTTTCACTACAATTATTAGAATAATATTAAGTGTTGTTGTTTCTTAAGTATTAGTTATTAAAATTATAATTATTATAATAACGTTGATTGTTGATTGTTGAATGTTGTTGTTATTGTTGTTGTTGCTGCTCAAGTTCCTTTACTTGTTGGTGCTGCTTGTTTTAAGTTTGAGTTTCGATGGAAGACTGCCGAGTCTTAGTTTTGTCTTTCATTTCATGGTGGTGCTTTTTCAAAATGTGTCGACGATGCATTTACAGTCTATTGTGAGAAAATGCTAACCAATCATTTCTCAGCGACGAATGTTTATTTCGGTAACTTATATATTCCGTCCGATTCTAGGTAAATAGTGCACGAAAGTGCACTATGTTTAGAATGATGTGTAGCAAGTTTAGGATCGGTTCAGATTTCTATATAGCTCTCACGTATTCATATATATTCGTCCGATTTTACATACATGGCTCACCAAACTCCTAATGTTTGTCCGATTAACACGAAATTTTGCACAACGTATCAAATTGAGATTTGAATGACGTTATTGCGTTTTGTTGAAATTGGTAAAGATGCAGCCATAGCTTCCTTATGTATTTCGAAATTAAATTAAAAATGCGGCGTATCGAATAGCGTGTATCAATTTTGCTATAATACGGTTTCCATAAATTTGTCCCATGGTATGAATACGACTCTAAATCTGCCCGAATGAAATTAAATTTTTCACAGGTTGCAGAAAGACATGCGTATATTGCTTCAAGGGAACATTGACTTGCAAATGCAAGGGCACATATGCGCAATATAACCAAAGTGGTGAAGGGTATCATATAGTTGGCCCAGTCCGACTTTACTACTTTCCTTACTGGTTATATGTTGACTATATCAAAACATCGACATATATTTATAATATTTGGCGAAGATGTCTTGTACACACTAATAATATGGAAATAGGGAAAATCTGTCATAAAATGCCAACAATTTGGTCGGATCATATATTTAATTATTATGTGTCACAATGAGACTTTTACACTAATTTAGTCTTTTCCTATTGATGTATTGAGAGATGCTGTCTCAAAGGCTGTTTCTAAAACAATCGTTTAATGTTTATAAAAATAAAGAACACATGCTTATTTTTTTTTTGTTTTCTTGATTTTTTATTATATTTTCATAATAATAATTTATCACTTTATTTCACATATACATATTTATGTTGTGTTTTCATATTATATATTATTATAGATTATACAATAAAAAATTATACTTTTATTTCAGTATTTTTTTGGAGGGGGGTACTTAAAATCTATAAAAAAATGTGGTTTTAAAATTGCATTACTACTATTTATAAATATATATAGAGCTTAAAATACATATATAAAAATAATAGATATGTGCGTATGTATGACAGGCTTTATGATAATATTTCAATATTAAAGCTTTATTGTTATTTTTTATTTCATTTCAAAATTTTTCTTTATAAAAGGTAAATTTATGTATTTCATTTTTTCTCTGTATTAATAAATATTTACATTGTTTTTGTAAAATAAAAAAAATAAATAAATTTACCTTTTTTCTTTGTCTTGCAAAGAAGGGGGGGAATGTCTTGAATAAAAAAAATTGATTTTCATTAAAGGAATTCAAAATACTTTGCAATATTAAATCAATTTCATGTGCATCGAAAACATTCCCCAATATATTTTTGCTGTTATGTATTTTATGATTTCAGGGCTAGAATTGAATTTTGCTCAATTTTCTTTGAGAGATAGAGAGAGGGATATTCATTCATTTCGTTTTTCACTTAATAACTAAATAAACAATTTGTGTTATTGTTTAATTTCTGTTTGAATCTACAACTAAATAAAACTTAAGGATAATTTAGAAGGGCGTTGAGGGGGATAGGATAGGGTAGGGTAGCATAGAGGGATGACAATGTTTACATATTTTTCGTTTTTTGTTAAGGGCTTTATGTGTTAGTTCTTCTGCTCCTCGTGGCAGACGAATGAAAATTAATTGTAAAAAAATGCAATTAAACAAATTAAATAAAAAATGTTTTTAAAAAAAATAATTAATTTTTTTCATTTACAAAATTGGCCAATTTACTTTTGAACTTTACAGTTGTTGGCATTGGCTGTTGAGGTGGAACAAGACGGCGCCGCCGCCGCATTTGAGTTTTCAGTCAACGATGATTGCTCCACATTTGTACCCATCGAGGAGTTAATGAAGTTAATGTATTGATGTAATTTCAGGGCAGCTATTAGAGAGCTTAGATAGTCGTTAACGTTGCCTTTTTGGACTTTGCGGATTTGTCGGGAGACATTTCTATAGACGCGACGGGAAATCTTGTTCTTAAGTCTGCCAACTGTCTGTACGGTGTGTAGTACTGGGTCCTCGCTTGCGGGAACTGGGACTAAAATAGGAAAAAGAAGAAAAGAAAAATTAATATACAATTGCAAATATATTGCATATATACAGAACACACACACATACAATTTTTTTTATTATTTAGCTTTTTCCATAATCTAGCTTACCATAAGTTCATTAATTTGCCTATCGATTATATGGATAATTTCTGGATTTTGTCTAACATATTCTACAATTTCGGTAATAATTTTCAGTGACATAGACAGAAAGACAGTGGATGCCGCAACTATGAATCTACTATCAAGTTCAATATCTTGATTATAAATCTCTTCGACTAAAACGATAAGAAAATCCATGAAAAGAAATAGAAGAGAGAGAGAAAAAAAACATAATTTACTAATTGATTCAATTGAGACAAAGACAAGAGGAAATTATATGAACAAATAGAGGAAAGAAGGGAGACAAGGTGGACAGAGAATAAGTCACAAGGAATTATGATTATTATTACGGATCCCATAATATGCTCAAAAATTATTTTTAAATCATATATCGAAACTCTGAAACACATTTATTTTCTACAATTAAGTCACGAATTTTATCAGAGTTTAGTTAAAACTGTCTGAATCAAAAGTTCCTTTGATAAGTTTAACCTCAGCTTGGAATAGATGAGCAGCTAACATTGAAAAGAATTCGGAACGAGCCACCATAGGCTCTTGAGAGAAGACCAATCTCCAAAAATAAGACACAAAGTTAGAAATGAGTTGAAACCTTCAAAATACCTGAAATGGAACGGAACCTTTATATGGGTATCTGTCTAATAATTTAGGCATCGTGTGTGGAATTTTATCAGAGTTTAGTTGCAATAACAGCCGAAGAGATGAAGCTGCAAAGGTAAACCCCAGAATTCTAAATCCCTCCACCACTATGTGGGCATTCAAAATACATAATATCGGTCGGGGCAGGATAACTTTAAGTTGCACAAGGTCAGCAGTTAAAGTAGGAAAGGACCTATCGGAGCCCTTCAATACCGAACGAGGATTCAGACAAGGTGACAGTTTGTCGTGTGATCTTTTTAACATCCTACTGGAAAAGGTCATACGAGACGCAAAGGTGAACAGAAATGGCACTCTGTACACCAAACAACACATGTTACTCGCCTACGCCGATGACATCAATATAATAGGTCGAACATTGCGAGCGGTAACAGCCACCTTTGAACAAATTGAAAAGGAGTCTGCCAAAATGGGTCTGACAGTAAACGGCGTGAAGACCAAGCTGATGGTATCAACGCGCAAGACGTCCAGTAGCCTCGGACCAACTGTGGCACTTGAGAACTACAGCTTCGAGGTAGTTAAAGACTTTATATACCTTGGTACCGCCATAAATAAAACGAATGACATCAGTTTTGAAATTCGGAGAAGGATTGCGATGGCCAACAGATACTACTATGGTCTAAGTAAGAAGTTTAGAAACAAGGCCACCTCCCGCCAGACCAAACTCACACTTTATAAGACGCTGATACTACCCGTGTTATTATATGGATCAGAAGCATGGGTACTTGCGCAAGCAGATGAGGCAGCTCTTGGGGTGTTTGAGAGAAAAATTCTCCGAAAGATCTACGGGCCGATCTGCGTCGACGTTGAATATCGGCGTCGAATGAACCACGAGCTTTACAATTTATACGCGGACATCGACATAGTCAGTCGTATTGAGCTGCAGCGACTACGGTGGCTAGACCATGTTGTGCGGATGAATGAAAATGCCCCAGCTCAAAAGGCATATAAAAATGAGCCTACTGATGGTTCCCGTAGAACGGGAAGGCCACGAATTAGATGGAAAGACCAAGAAGAAAACAACATCTTGGAACGTGGTCTTCCAAATTGGTGGACTTGCGCACAAGACCGACGCGCTTTTTTAAGCTCGGCTTTCCAAATATAGGGCGGGACTTTAGAACCCTAGAACGTCGTGTGGTAGCTGCAGCTATGACTTTAAAAATTCCGAATATAGGGCGGGACTTTTTTATTGGGGCATGCCAAATAATTCAGTTACATTAAAGAATTTTTTAGTGAAGAGGTTTTGTAAATGCCTAACTCTACCTGGAATGCCTATCAACAGCCACTTTGGTTCTAAAATGAGCTTAAAATTTTCAAACTACCTTCGGACTATGCCAAAACATGAATGTTTTTACAAGAAGGGCAATCTTTTTAAATGTCATTTGAAAGCATAAGCGTTTGAATATACCGAAAATGAGACGGAACGCGATATAGGGGCCTTTCTAGGAGTAGTAGCAATGTATGTGCAAAGTCCTATCTTTATATTGCGATCAATGATCCAGATTTTAACATAGCTGTAATCACATGGCTAAGTCGTATCCTATTTTTTCGGGCGAATTTGTTCAGCTATTCTAGCTCACGTTTTTATATATCCTCTAAGATTTCTGTCTAACGGAATACTTAAATGATTTTGAGTTAATTTGATAGGCAGACTCAATTCCATTTATAGAAGTTCGGTGGATGGTTATCTAGGTAAAATATTTTACATATATTTCATTACTTAGTATTACATTATCCTAGGCTCCAGAAAAAATTTATATTTTTAAAAAATACTTATTACATAAAAGACCCATGCATATACATTATAAAAAATACAAAATGTTATATCCAATTCTGCTGCAGATTATAGAAAAAGCCAATAAAAAAATTAAGAAAAAAATAATAATTTAAAAATTTTTCAAAAGCATGCAAATTTAAGTGTTCAACAAGTGAATGGGGCCCATAGATTTTTCTTCAAAGAATATTTTAAGCACACCCCATCACTCAATGCAAAATTTAGAAAATTTCAACAAAACGTATTAAAAAACAACAACAACAACGTGAAAAAAACAACAAACCACTTACTGTCATTTTCGGGATGTTTGCCATTATGGCCATTTTGTGTGACAGCAATTTCTTTAACATCTGAGAATTAAATGAGAAAAAAATTTGAAAGAAAAAAATTAACATTTTTTTATTGACTTTTTCTAAAACGGGCGAACAACAACAAAAAAACTACGCATTACTTAAAAAACAACAACGCATGCATGCAATAATTTTTTTATTCTTTTTTTATTTTGTTTTCCACTGGAAACAAAGTCCGTTAAATTGTGACGTTCATAACTGAACAATGATGTTTACCCCGAGTCACTTTTTGTTAAGTTATTATTAAGGCCATCAGATAATGGAATGTACCCTCTCATAATCATCATCATCATCGTCAGAATAGTGTGTACATATGTACAATATACATACATTGTTTCATATCAATTTTGAATTAAAAAAGAAAAATGCAACTTTGTTTCACTTATCAGTGAGAATTGAAAGAAAAAAACACAAAACCTTGTGAAGTCTTTTGCAAATAATGAAACAAAAGCTTCGTGTAAACATGAGAGAGTTTATAGACATAAACATATATATATATATATATATATTTATGTACCTAATTTTTTTTTTCACTTTGGGTTTTTTATTCTTTTTAAATTTATCTTATCATTGTTGCTTCTATTTTTAAATCTTTGTACTGTCAAATGGTATTGGCCCTCAGAGTGCTAAGAAATAAATGCATATTTGTAAGATTCGGAAGTCTAAGAACCACTGGATGTCCTCCTGTGAAATGCGGTCTGCAAAAATTCTACAGGAATCGAAAAAAAGACCTAGATATTACGTTTTTATAACAGTGAAGTCTACGATCGGAAACGACTCGATTTTCGCTGTGCCAACGACCGTTCTATAACCGTACCGCCCCATTATAGTTACTTCGAAAGTTTTAGCAGCTCTTTTCAACGGAAGTAGCTGTAATTTCGTATTCCAAATCTTGTGGAGAGAACAATATTTTTGCACCGTCTTCGGTGTTTTAAGGGTTCAGCTGCATTTTTCCCACGACATGTCTGTTACATCACATTGCGAGACAGACATATTGTGAAGGATCTAGCCACATTTTCACACTGAAGAGGTTGTAAATTATATATCGGATCATAAGAGGGTAAAAATTAATATAGGTCCATGCTGTGGCATAGCCCCAATATAATGATACCATCTTATTGTCGGTATTTTGAAGATTTATCCTCAATCGGCCACCAAAGTGGCATTCCAGATTATTTGTGGCAAAAGTTTTATAATAGTCCTAGACCCCATGTAAAGAAGAACTTTCCAGATAGTTTTCAATATAAGAAGTTATTCCATTTATGGAAAACCTATAGAATAAGGTCTTTCTAAAAACGATCCATAGAATAGGGTTTCCAGCTCGAGGCATTTTCACACCAAGGATGCTGCAGTTTTATATATCGAGTTCTAAGAGGGTCAATATAGCAATGCAAAAAATTATTTATTTAGGTCCATGCTTTGTCATAGCCCCCATATAAATATACCATCTTATTGTCGGTATTTTAAAGATTTATCCTCATTCACCCACCGAAGTGGAATTCCGGAATTATTAGAGGGTGATATTTATTTGTGCAGTGTTTAGCCACTTTTCTCTCCGAGGAAGCTGTAGTTTTATTTTTAGGGTTCTAAGAGGGTTCAAATATCATTGTAGAATTGCTTTGGCATAGACTCCATATAAAGGTACCATATTATTGTCGGTATTTTGAAGATTTGTCCTCATTTGCCCATCGAATTTCTGCAGGGTAATAATTATTTATACCGATAGTCATAGAAGGACTACCCAAGGCGTGGATTAAGGACTACCCAAGACGTGGATTAAGAAAATGTATTTTTAAGGCTTACCCAAGGCGTGGATTTTAACAAATATACTTTTTTAAGGGCTACACGAGGCGTGGATTAAGAAACAAATATTTTTAAGGATTACCCAAGGCGTGGATTTTAACAAATATACTTTTTTATGGGCTACACGAGGCGCGGATTTTCTAAAAAAAATATTCTTAAGGACTACACACGGCGTGGATTTGTGACAGGCAAAAGGAAACGAGATACATCGGTTCAGATTTAGATATAGCTCCCATATATATTTTCGTCCGATATAAGGTGAATGGTGCACCAAAGACCCTAAATATCTTTCGATATGCATTAGGTCTGATATGAATTAAGTCTAGAATGGTGTATGGTAAGTTTCGTCGAAATCGGTTTAGATTTAGATATAACTCCCATACATACTTTCGTCCGATTAAGAACTTTCCAGAAAGCTTCCAAGACATTTTCTAGACAAGACATTTTAAGGCATTTTCCATCTCTTCAAGACCTATAGAATAATTTCCTCCTATAGACGATCCATAGAATAGGGTCCGTAGAATAAAGAGTCTAACCTGTAGATAGTTATGGAGTGTTTTCTCTATGTTGAAGATCTCAAAAAGGTCTTCTGTTTTTTAAAGATTTGTGACCTACATAACCCATAAAATGTTCTAAGAATTCCACTTTAGAAGTCCTATAGAAAATCTTCTAACTACGATGATATTTTGTCGAAAGAACACTTGTAGAAGCTTTTCTGTATATAGGCGACCTCTGAAGGTAATTCTGGACATGCATACATTTTTCTATACATTAAATACCTATAGCTGGTTTAACTTCTACAGAATGAACACAGGACCTTTTGGGGAAGTTCTTATTCCCACTTTCAGTCCCTCAATTCAGGTGAGGTAGCAGCAGGGAATGATAAAATAAAAAATGTATTTTTCATAACTTCGCATCTCTTCTGCTATACAACAAAATAACCTTTAATTAATAGCTTTACACTCTCCCTCTTAGTTCGATTTATCTGCTAAAATGTTTATCAATAAATTATACCGACCGAAAGTATTTCTGGACATAAAGTTTTCTATTTATAAAATACGTATAGGTGGTCTAACTTCTATAGAATAAACACATAGATTTTTTTTGTAGAACCACGTATGTCTTTGTGGAGAGGACCTTTCGTAGGACATGTTTTATGGAACCCTCTCTGAAGGTCTTCAATCTACAGGAGATTATCTGGAATTCTTTAACACTAGAACGCCGAAGGCGGCCATTTTGACCGCTTTTCAATTTCAAGTAAAGAAGCAACTGTGCATTTAATGACACTTTTTTTTTAAAAATTTGGTGACTTTTTGTATCTCATAGAATTACGTTTATTATAAAAAATCACCAAAATTAAAATAAAAGTGTCATTAAATGCACAGTTGCTTTTGTACTTGAAATTGGAAAGCGGTCAAAATGACCGCCTTCGGCGTTCTAGTGTTAAAATTTACTACACCAATCTCTATTGGTATTCAAGGCATACCGCCTTGATCTATAATACCTCTACAACAACAAAACAAACATCATTTATTTTTCAACAAAATAGTAGTCTAAGCAAACCTCTACAACAACAACAAAACAAACATCTATTATTTCTACACAAGAAGTAGAAAAAAAATTGTCAACACTTTCGCACCTTAATACTCACCATTATCTTCTTCAACATCCGATTCCGATTTGGGGAAATAATATTCCAATAGACGTTCAGCCAATGCGGTTGTAGTATCGACACCATTTACAGCCAAACTACCATATTGAGTGGCCAGAACTTCATTAGCCTTTTGCCAGGCTAAATCTTTCAAGGAGGCAGCTTTTTGTTGACCGGCCGCTTTGAATTTGACAACACGATCAATATGCGGTTGCACAACATCGATAACTTTGTTCTTAGCTTGATTATAGATTTCCTGAGGTGTATCCTTAATAATGGGTGCCTTAACTTCCAGCTTGTCAATACCTTTGACCAAAGTTTGATCGACATAGTGAATGGGACGATCCAATTTGCAGACAATGGGTGCGGCAGTGGTGACGGCACGTGAAACACAATCTTCGGCGGCGCTCAACGCCCAATTGAAGACACGATTTTTGCCTGGAAAGAAAATGTTTTTTTATTAAATATAATTTTAAGGTTATTTCAATGTTATATAAATGTGTTTATATACATCTTAGGGGCCATGTTTGACCTGCTTTCTGATATGCCGAGCAGAAAATATATTATGACAATGTCATGGTTCTATTGTTTTGTTGTATGTGTGTGTTAGAGAGTTTAATTTTTTTATAATTTATTTGCATTATTGTTTTATGGGATTTTTTTTATTTCGATCGGTTTCTTATCAGTCAATTGCCAATTGTACTTTAGCAATTGAATTTTTTTTTTGTATTTGGGATTTTTTTGTTCTTGCTGCTCTTGTATTTAATTATCGCAAATAATTCGACGACGACGTCAAAGATTGTTTCGTCCAAATAAATCATTGGATAATGTCATAAATAAATTGATAAGGCCAATTTCTTTTTGGGTCTCAAACAATGAAAGTCGTACGATTCATTTCAATAAAATGTTTGGAGGTACTAAATATGGATTTTACACACACACACACCCTCTTCCATTATGGCCAGGTGTTATCATAATCGCGGAAAATAATGAAATCTTTTTCCAAGAAATCATGGTTTTGATATCTCATATTAAGATTAAAATACCATGGAATAGTTGTGGCGAAAGAATCTCACAAAGGGCCGCACAAATTTTTACCAACTTCAGTACCTCAATAGAGGGAGTGTGGTAGCTGCAGAGAGTGATAAAATACGTAGTTTTCAGAAATTCGAAACTCTTCTGCTATATAACAAAATAACTTTTTAATTAAAATCTTTACACCCTCCCTCGAAGTTCGTTTTATTTGCTAAAATTTTAATTAAAAAATATACCGGCCGGTTCAGATATTGTCACACGAAGTTAACTTAGACGTGACAGAAGATCTGTAATTAATTTCCATTCAAGTCTAAAGAATTTCATCATTTTGAATATTTCAGACAATCATCATCATTATTGTTGAAAACAACAACAACAACAACATTAAAAGTTTTCAATTTCATTTAGAATTTTTGTTTTTGCACACGCTTAAAGTGCCAATAATTGAAATGCGCATTAGAAAACCGAAACTACAACAACAACAAAAAACTATAATTATTTATAAATTATTTCGTTTGTTTGCAAGTAACACTAAACGCCAGACAGTGAAGTGTTGTAAAACATTTCTTGTTGTTGTTGTTGTAGTTATGAATAATTGAGACGAACGTGGCTAGATTTGAATGGCTAAAACGATATGAGGTCATACAATTGCAATAAATATCAAAATTGGCATATGAGGTATATATATATTGAAGTGAAAATGAAGTCGGAAAAGGAATGGGGTCATTTCAAGTACAATGAGGATCATTGATTTATAAAAAGAAAAAACAGAATCGTCGATTTTCTAACAAAAAAAAAAAGTAAGGAAAGTAGTAAAGTCGGACGGGGCCGGCTATATGATACCCTTCACCACATTGGGTATATTCAACAGATGAATCCTGAAGGATGTCGCATTTGTGAAGGAACAGTAAAATGAAGTTGAATCCATAAACATTTCATTCTGCAACCTATACAAAATTTTTCATTTAGTCAGATATAGAGTTACACCTTACAATGGGACAAAATTATGTAAATCAATTTAAGGGAACCCCCCCATTCACCATTTTAATTTTTCAAGATATCAATATCAATCGGACACCGGTTGATTATTTGGATAAATATCTGATAAAAATAAGAAGTTTGGTGCACCTATATCAAAATCTGAACCGATTTCAACGAGACTTGCCAGAGATTAATTTATATTCATTGTGTGGCAATCGGACAAACCTTGGGTCTTAAGTGCACACTTTACATAAAATCGGAAAAAATACGAAAATATATAGTAGCTATATAAAAATCTGAACCGATTTCTAACTTAGCAAACATCATTCTAGACTTAATTCAGCACGTCATGTCCAATATTGTGCACATCGGAAGATATATAGGGACTTTGGTACACCATTTGATTTAAATCGGACGAAAATATATATGGGAGCTATATTTATATCAGAACCGATATTCAGGAAACTTAACACACATCATTCTAGACCTAATTCATTACGCTGAGGCAAATTTCGTGCAAATCGAAAGATATATAGGAACTTTGGTGCACAATTTACCATAAAATCGATGCAGGTTGGGACGAAAATATATACGGGAGCTATATATAAATCTGAAGCGATTTTCACGAAACGTAGCATACATCATTTTAGGCCTAATTCAGTACGGTGTGCCAAATTTCGTGCTAATTGAAATATATTTAGAGGTTTTGGTGCACCATTTGATTTAAATCGGACGAAAATATATATGGGAGCTATATCTAAGTCTGAACCGCTTTTTCCCAATTTTAATAGGCCAAATTTGATCAAATTCGGATTATAAATTTGACTTGTACTTTGTTTACAAATTAACATGGACAGAGGGACGGACATGCATGAATCGACTTACATTGTGATTCTATGGATATTCTCAAAAGAAACCATGGTCTATATCGTTTCCTTTTGCCTGTTACAAGCATATGCTCAAAGATATAATACCCTGTACTACAGTGTGGCGGAGGATATAAAAATTGGTATCTAGGGAGGATTGTGAGAATTCGTTACTAGAGTTTTTGGCAATAGAGAGCAGGACTTTTATGAGAGAGGCATTATGATGTTAACTTTAAAAATGGCAACAAATCATACAACAAAACGGTGCATCGGACATTGCGAAGCATGTTAAATAAGGTCCTATAGTTCATATAAAAATAATGGATTTCTTTTTCCCCAACCTAATATTAAACTTTAGTCTCTTACTTATCACTCAAATACATAGTTCGTTCAAGTATCACTTCAAAGTCTTAAAGTTTCAATTACTACTTTATTCGAATCTAATTAGAATATTATTTCAAATGAGTTATAGATTGTTGTTTTTGTTGTTTCTATGAATAATAAAATTTAGAAGCTATTAATAATGTGAGTGCAACGAACAAGTTCTTACCCGTGTACAAAAAAAAAAAAAAACTGTTCGAAAAAAGTCATTATTCCTTTGTTTGGTTTCTTTTTTTGTATTTCGTGATAATCAAATACTCGTGTCTTTGACAGTTCCAGATTTTTTTCTGCTGGCTTTTATCGGTAAATATTTTCGGTTTTGTTAAGATAATCTTTGTTTAAAGGTAAATCTGTTAAGCATATGGTGTTCTTTTTGGGTAAATATTTTTCGAATGCAATTGATAATGGCTGGATAGACTTTGCCCCTAGCATATAATAAAAGAAAATAATATTTTTAAAATTAACACAAACAAATAATTTTTGAAATTTGGACAAAAAATAAAATGCTTTGTTGTCAACAAATTTTTGAAGACTATTGAATTTAAATAATATCGAATAATATAATATTTTGAAGTTGTAGAAATGTATGTGTAGTATTTCAATGCTGTATATTAGCAAATAATATTCATGTTGTTGTCTACTATAATCCCTTTCCCCTTTGCGCTTCTAGAATCCGAATATATGTATATAGAATATCGGACATGTGCTGCACTACCGGAATTAAATTACTGTGTTTGTTATTTATTTCATATTTTTTTCTTAATTCTTAAAACGAGCTATTCATTAATAATTCGTAAATATCTAATAACTTATACACTTTTTGAGAGTATTTGTTTTTTTTTTCAGAAATAGTAGCATCAGTTTTTTTTTAAAAAAAGAGGGGAATTTTTTTTAATTTTTATTATTATATTTTCTCATGATTATTGTATGAGGTATTTATGTAAATTAGTGTTTGGACTTTGTTCGGAGATTGTTTGCAACGAACAAAAAATAAAATAAATAAATAAAACAGGTGATGATGCTCGTGATGATGATGTTGTTGTTTTCTTTTATATAACTGATGATGTGTGTGTTGGATTAAAAAAAAGTCCGCTATCTGTTAGGAAATGGAGAATACGTCATTTGTTTATCATTTAGTTCATAACACTAAAAATAAGGTAAATATTTTAATAGCTTAGAGGGATCTGAAAAAAGTTGGGGAAATAAGTAAATGGAAACCGAAAAAAATCAGAATTATATTTAAAGCCTTTCAAAAGTTCGAAAAAAAAGTTTTTTTGATTTGATTTTTAATAAAAATGTTTATAAGAATATTTTTTAAGAACATAGAAGGATATTTTTTTGGGGTGTGGATTTTTTGAATAATATTTTTTTAAGGAAGTGGGACTAAAAAATTGAAGGAATTTGGTCGTAGTGGACCTTTGCAAATTTTTAAGATCATTTTGAAGGACTGACAGATGTGTGGATTTTTTTGAAAATAATGATTTAAGTACCAACAGAAAATAGGACTTTTTTAGAGAATAAATTTTCAAGGATCAATAGAAGGGTGCATTTTTTTTAAAGAATATTTTAAAGACACAAAATAATCGTAGATTTTTTTAAGGACCGAAAGAAGAAGAGGCCGATAAGAGAGTGAAGTTTTTAAAGGAGAACTTGGAGCGTGGAGTTTTAAATGATAAAATTTTTAAAGAAAACTATTTTATATATTCAAGGACTATTAAATATTCATGTCTTGGAAATTTCTTAAAAATATTTATTTAATAAAAATTCAACCATTTGATAGGTTGCATTTTTAAATAAATATGTTTAAGAATATTTAATAGAATATTTTTTTCGACGACTACACTAGGCATGCATTTTTATAATAATGAAATATTTCAAAAACTAGTTGAATTGTGGATTTTTGTAACACCGCGAAATATTGGTCCTAGACCCACCTTTAAGTATACCGATCGTCATATCTCGACTAGCTGAATCGATCTAGAAATGTGAGTCCGTCCGTCCGTCTGTCCATTATAATTTGTAAACACGATACAGTTATGAACCAATCTTCATGAAATTTTGCATGTAGGATGGGTTCTGGCCAATGAAGACCGCTATTGTTTTTGGTAATGATCGATTAATATTTAGGGGATGATATGGACCAAAAACGTTTTTAGTCTAATTTTATGGTCGCTC